AGACCAGGAATAGGAGTATCGTAAGGTCCTACTTAGGTTTAAGCCAATTTCTGGATCTCATACTAGCGTGAACCTCGGGGACGTAGTTATCCAGATCCTACAAAAGCACCAAATCACTAACCGAGTGCTAGCGGTAACAACTGATAATGCGTCTAATAATAAGATACTTATCGCAGCAGTGAATGATTCAATCAAGAAGCTACATATAGAGACGGATTCTACGATTGTCCAAGTGCCTTGCCTTACGTATATTATTTAATTAAGTCTAGTTGATTTACTTGGTAAAATCAAGGCTTCGCTAAAGAATGATAACGCCGAGATAGAATAGTCTGATGATCGTATACGTTTACTTCGTACGCGCCAGCAGAAACATAAGATCGCCGATACTCTAAACAAGATATACTTCTATTTAGAAATTATAAATTATGATTCAATAACACTAACTATTCTGATTTCTAATAGGTCCGAGGTCTTACGGTTTATATCAACGGAAGCCCTCAACGTAAGGAAGCCTTCCTAAATACCCAGCCTAGTAATACGCTCCGGCTTCTTCTAATCCAAGATATTCGTATACGGTAGAATTCGACATTTCTAATACTCCAACGGGCGAAGAGGCTTTATATCGCATTTAATAAGTTCTGTTCCGACTATGATCAACACCATTTTACATTAAGTGCAGAGGGGTAGCGACAGATTAACTATTTACTTTATATTCTTCAGCCCTTTTTCACGCTCACTACGCTAGTTTATCGTACTAAAGACTCGAGTATCCACCTTATCTTTAGGATTTATAATAAGCTCTTCGATCATCTTAAAAGATCAATAAGTCAGCTTCGTCGAAAGAAGGTTCTCTAGAAACAGCTAATACTTTCCTCCCTCGATACTACGAAAGAGAAACTAAAGAAATACTACGGCGAGACAGATGGTATCGAAGGCAATCTCTATATAATTGGGACGATCTTAGCGCCGTCGAGCAAGATAGAGTTCTTTTCAACAAGTGATTAGGACCCAGATCCTAAGACAGGAAAGGACTATAGAAAAGAATACCGCGAGAGTCTTCAGTCTTTTTTTGAGAGATATAGCTAACGTATACTATCAGAGATAATATAATCTAATAGCTAGTTATTCACAACTAAATCGGAGCTTGAGAAGGCTCTTAACGGCGATTCTTCACAACGATTAACTGCTCCGCAGTACAACGAGCTTACCAAATATCTCTAGAGTGGTAAGTAAGTAAGCCTACTTTATAAATCATATAACTAACCTTACCTAATTAGAAACTATTAAAGGATCTATTCGGATCTTCTAGAAAGATTATCAGAGGGAATTCCCTATTCTTACAAGCATTGCCCGTGATATTATATCAATTCCAGCGACTGGTGCCGGAGTTGAGCGTCTTTTTAACTCTGCCCGCGATATATGCCACTACCGCCGGGGGTCGTTAAACCCAGAGACTGTTCGCGATATTATGTTATACATGTGTACAACAAGATTCGATATCAAGGAGGAGTAGCGGCTGATTCTCCAAGAGTATCTTTTAGACTATGAGATAGCCGCTTCGACCGAAGCACTTAATGTCCAGACACATGCTTTCGAGGCTATTAGTGATAATGAGGAGGATGTCGAGATATGTCTTGATGCAACCCCGGACGCACCGCTACTCTTAGTAGTCGCCGCTAGAAAGCGGCCTACGGTTAATTCTGACGATGAGGAAGAATCTGATGCCGATGAATTTACGGATCTAGATAAGAATAGGGCATTACCCTTACCTGACTTCCCTGATACGCAGTATCGTGCATCCGGTAGAATAAGGAAGAAGTCGAGACTACTAGATGGGTATATAGCTTGATTACTTGAATCTTGACTCTTGAGAACTATAACCCGACACTGAACTATAGATATAATATAAACCATTGATGATTGAAAGTTGAAACCCTAATTCGACGCTGAGCCAGTGAACCCATAATATGCACTAAATCCTCCTGTAAGGGCATACATTAATGAAGTGTTGTTTTATAATTACGAGAGAATACAGCCTATTTCTACATAATTTATGTAGTTGACCCTAAGTCACGTTTTTTACCTATTTGTCATGCTTGTTGAACCTCAGGTTCACCCGCGGGTAACCTCCATGAGGTTCGGTCCAAGATAGAACCGCCCGGAGGTTCTAGGTCATGGAACCTTAACCTCCGGGTGGGTGAACCTCCTTGAGGTTCGTGAGGTTCACCCGTGGTTCCTGGCCAGGTCTAATCAAGATCAGTCATAGGTGACACGTATTTCTCCGTTTCTGACAGGTCGAGCATCTGTTCTTAACCCATTTTCTTGGCTGCTAGCGTGGGTCTCCAGGGCATGCTATTCAGATGGGCACTGTATAACCTTAGACGAACGGGATATGGAGAGAAAAAAATGATCGTTGGCTCCGATGTGCGGTCAACTGCCGAAGCGGGCGCTGATTCGGGTCCATCGTGGAGCTAACCCAAATCGGGAGAGTCGAGCCGAAACGCGAGGGGAAAACCGTGGAGGAACCCGAGCGCTAAACCTTTTCGAGCGGTTCATAGCCTACAATCCCCAGAACGGTCAATGTTTGAATCTACAAGCTAGTAGATGAGATCATGAAACATGAAACACAATATGATGATATTGTGGAAGCTGTAGAGCTATAAAAGAGGAAGGAAAGGTAGATCTTGAGAGTGTACTACTATGGGCACAGTCGTGTTGTGGTCCCTAGCGGGCTCCAGGGCCAAATATATATGACCTTTGCGCCAACGCCCCTCTGCGGAGCGTAAACAGCAGACTTGCAGGTTGCACCACCGCCAATGACCAATGTAGAGTGAGTTGTCAGATGAATTTTGATTTTGGGATCTGCATGGAGTGCTCGCTCTATTGTGCTCCAGTCTGTATTTGTTCCAATATACAGCTGCTTCTCCTCGCCTCTGACTAGATTCGGTTGAACGTAGTTTGTGATCGTTGAAGTATCTGTTCTCGGTGTTTTTATTGGTTGGCTGATGGCAGAGGGGTGTCTACTACGTCCGATGTGAAAGTATAAATCATTGCAGCAGCTTATAGATATCTTTAACGTATTTCACATGCGAGCTGGACACCCCCAGAACATGCAAATTTAGATAAGCCGAGATCTACCGATCGTAAGTAGAGAGTGAGTGGGCACTCACCTTGGTGCTAAATGACAGTATCGCGTAGTCCGAGATCCAGAAGACGAGCCAAGATTGCAAAATCATTCACAACAAACTTCAGATCGTAAAACGGTCTAATTGGCTGTAATGGGGTTATTTTTCCAGTGGGCTGTTGGCACTTTTGTCTCCATTGGATAATAGTGATAGTGATCAACGCGATAGTCGGGAGAGTTAGTCAAGCCTCACGGCGTTGAGGTTTAGACCCTAAGTATTCAGGTCCATGGCCTGAACCTCTACAAACATGGTATCTAGGCTCAGTGCTCACAGATCGGTCGGCGAGGTATAGATGTTCAGACTCAGGAATACCAAGGTCATGTAAATAACTAACTTCAAGGAATCTAGTCTCCGTCGCTCATCATTACCTGGCGGTTGTCTGTTTTGGTTATTTTTCTGCTAACCGGATTGGGAGCACCCACCCAACAGATTGCCCTCGGTCTAGTTAGCCTCCGATATACAATTGCAATTACTGAATTCCATTCACCCAGCTGATTGCATTACATCAAACCTATATCCGCATAAGCAACTAGCATGAGCCGATGCTGGCTCGTTACCTTTCTTGCGTAGCGGCCCACTCAAAGCTGGCAGGGGGTAGTCGGTGTGGTGAAGTGGCGCTCCAGAGGCCAGCTTATAAGCGAACCCTGAGCCTTATCACATTGTACAGAACTCCTTTCAACTCGAAGATCTGGGCTATGGCGCTAACCGGGTTGGGCACGCCAACCTGGGTGCTCTTGATCTGGTTAGTCTCTAATATATAACCTCATATACTATATAGCCTGCGCATTGGCTGGGTGCATAAGTCTTTAAGTTGTCGATATCTTGTGATATAAATCATAAGCCCCTAAGTAGAAAAAATCCCTATTAATACGATTCTTTTAATACGGGCCTGCAATTGAATATGAAAAAGCTCCTCTTGGCAGCAATCATGTATCTTAAGCTCTTGAAACGGGAGGTAAGATTTTTATTTCGCTCTAAGGAAGTTGTTAACTTGACCAGCCCTGAGACACCTTCCACATCCAGCACTAGGATGACGCGGATCACCCGCGACAATATTAGTCCAGATCCAGTTAGTTATTCTGTAAAAACTTATGTCCAGTCACTGTACATTTTTGTGTGCTATTCGACCGACTCACTCAATATTCATGCGCGATGGTTAGGCCAACGACAACACGTCTAATTTCGGCGCAGCACAACATTGAAATGGCCGTGGCACTAAGTTGCCACTCCCATGCTGTGTCCTGAAGGCCTGATGAATTCCCACGCATTACCTGCTAGGTGCGCCGTTTCACCCACGAACTGAAACAACACAGTAGCTTTCTGTCTAGGTTTAGCCACGCTTTTGGCTCGAAAAACCGTGGCCTGCTGCGTGTTCAAAAGCCGCCATTGCGCTTTTAAGCTTTTGCGCTTTTTGCACTTTCATAACGTTTGACGTTTTTTGAAAGCTACTCCCTGGCCAACGAGCCTACGACTATAAGAGCACCCACTTCAACTCTACTTTTCAGCAAGTCCAATTCTACAGTCACGAGGCATATTTCAGGCTACAAACTGGCAGATGGCGACTACAGGTTCTCCTCTCGGCGGTCCGGCCCTACTCCAAGGTGGAGAAAGGAGTAACTGCGAGCCAATCATAAATTAGAAACGCTTAGATCCCAGAATAAAGAAACCGGCATTGTTCACCTATTTTATGCTTGAGCCAGTTCTAATTTACTCTTGAGCCACTCAATGGTTTTACCAACCAAGCTATAGCAAAATTTCACGTTCAAATATATAACAGCGATCAAGGTGAACTTATGCAGCCGTCCATTGCAGTATTCAAGCTAGAGGATTTGCCTTCTCCAGGTCTTGATCTGTAATTAAAAATGGGGTCGGATAATATGAGCTCTGCAAATTTTAGCCTTTAGTCATGTGACTCATACCTGGCTGCATACTAGTTGTGACCCAAGAAATCCCCAAAACCCTGAAACATCCGCCGACAGGATAAACACTTGGCCCGTTTCCCGAAGGCGAATACCCACGCAGACGTCTGCCTCACATAACTTACTATATTCGCGTGCCTTTTTCATCAAAATGGATTTGCGACGGCCTTGTTTTTGACGCATTGATTTTCTTTTCGGCACTGGCGAGCTTCCGTTGTACATTTCGTGCATGGGGTCGTACCAGAGCACTACACTGGGTTAGGTCTATCCTCTATCCTCGAATGGAGGAACGATCTTTCTAACCTTGGACTTTCTTTTCTGACACTCAGTGCAGGCCAGAGAAACTCGCCGGTGTTGTTTTGTCGACGAGTCTGTTTCCAGACACTGTATACTCGATCCATTTTCCCTAGGCTCGGGCAGAGTATTATTTTTCGGCATTGTGGGATTAGACGAGTAGCAGTCGCTTTCTGGATAGAGGTTTAGATCTAAGAGAAGGCTCCGGAAATAAGAAATTTAGGGAAATCAGTAAGGCCTAGGGATTCAGGGGAACTACTTAGGTTATATTTGTTCTCCTGTCACATCCTTGCTCGAAGTTCTCTTTATCTGCTAGAGATAGAATCATCCATAGCAAACAGAGAACCCAGCTAGGAGACCCACCCTAAATTCCTTATTTAACTAGTTAAATATAATATCTACATTCTTTATCCTAATAAGTGCTTCCTATCAGCTAATTTATATAACTACTTATATAGTATATCGGGACGGCTTCTCAAGTATAAAAGTTTTCGCGAGATTCTAAGAAAAATAGTAGGTTAAGACAATATCTCTACCGGTATAATATATTTATAGCAGCCTATATTACTCTAGCTAGATACTCTTAGCTTTCGGTCAAAGCCTCGGAGGGTCACTAGCCTCCTGCAGTTTTATAACTATATTCAACGAACGGTCGTTAGTATATCCGAAGACTAGTCAAATCTAGCAATATATTCTAGAGTATTACTTAGTTCCTACTCGTCGAGATTAATCTTTTCTACTTACTATTAACTATTACTTTTACATAAACCGACCGGCTTATTATTAAGTCATTTTGTGAGATATAACCGAAAAATTCTTTATTTACTAAGTTATGAGCTCGTTCTTTATATATATTGGATGCTTATTTCCTGGATTTTATAGTTGAGACATAATATATTGAAGTATCCAAGTTTCCTATATTCGTTTCTACGTAGTATGCGTCGGTCAATATTTTCGTCTAGTTGCGCGTTAAGTAAACGGACTAAATCTTTTAAGATGATCGGATGTTAGGAATTGTCTTTGCTTCGATGATAGAGCATCGTATTTGGACAGTAGTTATCTAACACACCGCTAGACTGCAATCCGAGTAAACATCGTTAGGTGCAAAATTGCGCATCGTGATATCGGGCCTAGTTGCCTTGATTATTTCCCGCGTCCCGTTGACGACCCACTCGTTAGGCAGATGAGGAGGATATAACTTGGCTGAAGCCCCGTTTGCGGCCAATTGCTTGGTTCGAATCGGAGCCTGATGAGTCTGGCGACTGCGAGCGACGCTGCACAGCCGAGGGTGTACATAGGCCTTGACAAGTCCCGCAGCACCAAGGCAATTTTGGTGCTGCGATATGGTGCTGCGAGGTGCTGCGGGACTAAGCCAATTTTGGTGCTGTTGTATGGTGCTGCGGCACTAAGTGCTGCAGCACCGTCGCAGCACCAGTTTTAGTGCTGCGCTAGCATAATTCTGCCAAGCATTACCCAAAATGGATGGATAAAATGCTGACTTATTTTGATAAATTACTGTTTTTTACACATGTATTGGCATTGGGAGGTAGACTGCGACATCGCCCGTCCATGGGCACCTAGGAGGTGCCCAAGGCCCGTCCACGGTGGGCCTTGGGCTATTTGGATTTTCTAGTGCCCGTCCATAACGCCCAAGGCCCACGGGCATGCCCACGGCGGGCATGCCCACGATGCCCACCATTGCATAAAGTCACCCAAAATGGACGTATAACTCGCTGACTTTGCATAATAAATAACTGTTATTTACACCTGTTTTGCCAACTCCATGTAAAATGGCAGTTTTAATCTACAACATCTATAAATTTTACTGAAATATCTATGTATATGAGAAACTAGTATATATATGATACGAATTGGACTAAAATTTTAATCGAAATACATCATGTTGTGTGGTATTTTTATTAACTTATCAAATCATACTGTAACAGCTTGAAGATATATATTCAAGTCAGTGGTACATGCCTGGCATTTTCTATAAGTAAAATACTACTTATGGATTCTACTTTATCTCTCACTCTGGTATATTTCTTATAGGTAGATCGAAAGATAATTAGTATAATTCTTATTTTATAAGCTTATATCACTGAATTCTGTCAATTATATCACTCAAAGACTTATGTTATTATTCTAGGAGTTTTAAATCCTTCGATTGTAACTCAAGATGGGCGTTTAGGTATGTTCCCATGGGCGTGCCCACGGGCGTGCCCACGGGCATGCCCATGGACAAAGACACTTATAGCCAATCAGCTTATAATATATAGTGGGTCTACACTCAATTTACGATCTATCAGATCTATACAAAGCACCCCTTTTACTAGTAATCCTCGTTTCACACGGTCGCAAGTTACCTATTGTAAGTTCAGATCACTCACTCTCCTATAGTCGTTATATTATCCCTTACATCACATTAACCATGTCCCAACCTAGTGCCTATACCGCAGGGCCTTCTTCACTTCCTCCGAGCTCCCAACCAGACCTCTCCTACGTCGCCGATATATTTGATCCTAACCTTGATCCAAATATTGATCCCAGTCTCTTCAACAGCCAACAGACTTCTATCTCACTGATAGAGTCCGAGTTCACTCAACCGGCTATTCTTGATTGCTCTCTCAAACGCGTCGGCCCCGATCGGAGAAAGCAGTTTATCCTCTACGACGCGATGAACAACGCGTCCAAAGTAAAGTTTATCGAGTGGTGGCGTACCACAGTACGCGGCAGCAGTACTGAGACACAACAAAGGCTACGATGGGATGCAAAACACATATCAGATGTCTGGGAGAACTTCGACCAGGTAGCACATCATATTACAGGCGAACCTTTGGTCATGTGTCGGACGTGTGGGGTTACATTGCCTCATCCAAGTACAAAGCAAAGCGGCACCAATACACTCAAGCGGCATCTAGCCTCAGGCAAATGCCAAAAGGGTGGTAAAAGCAAGGCTACACAACAGTCGATTAAGGAGACCATGCAGCATATACCGGTAAGTCTTATATTATTATACCCTTCAAGATAACTAACATATTACATATTAGGCACTGGAGTTATCTTATAACTCAAAATTCTCGAATGATGAATGGGAAAGAGAGCAGATTGAATGTCTTACCAGTCTGAACCTCCCTTTCCGGATACTTGAGAGGAAGCAATTTGCTTCCTTGATTCGAATGGCACAAAAGGCTCCAGCTGAACCCACTTTACTCCATCCTCGCACTGCTCAACGCCGGCTCAAGAAATTGGTCGACGAGGAGCAACATTCAATTCTCGCTACCTTACCACAAGATGCGAAGCTCTCAATTGCCCTCGACTGCTGGACATCGCCTTTTCAGCAGGCATTCATGGCAATCACAGGGTACTTTATCGACCGAGACTGGAATTACCGTGAGCTCCTACTTGGTTTCGAACCACTTGATGGGGCGCATTCTGGTGTGAATCTAAGTGAAGTACTTATGGAGATCTTTAAGAAGCTTGATATTACTGATCGTGTGTTAGCGATTACATCAGATAACGCGTCAAATAACACAACTTTAGTACAGGCAGTTCAAGACTCTATTGACTCCCTTGAACTACCGAATAGCCCGGTGGTTGTTCGAATCCCTTGTCTTGCACATGTTATCCAGCTAAGCCTTCGCGAGCTACTTGGATCGGTGAAGGCCGATCCCCAGAACGATACCACAGATCGGAATGTTTCAGATGTCCAAGCCCAAGCCCAAGCTCGATCGCTCCGTGCTTCACAGAGTGAACAAGTCATTGTACAAACCCTTGTCAAGGTAAGTGTATCACTTTGTTTATCACTTAATATATCTAATAACTATCTAGATTCGAGGGCTTGCTGTGTTCATTAATGCAAGCCCCCAACGTCGCGATGATTTCTTCCGTCTCCAGACCAATGGAGCAAAACTTGCGCCTATCCAAGATGTCCGCACCCGCTGGAATTCTACCTTCTTGATGCTTCGTCGTGCGAAACGCCTCAGCAAGCCCTGCGATGAATACTGTGATAATATTGGGACTCAGAAATACAAACTCAGTAAGGCAGAATGGCGGCAGGTCGACTACCTCCTGTATATCACAGAGCCGTTCTATCGCTTTACCACAGTGCTTTCAAAGACCAAAGAGATAACAGTACATCATGTTTTTGGTATTTATAACGCCCTCTTTGAGCACTTCGAGGAATCGATTGCACGACTCACTCCGAAAACCATACCTTGGAAGAAGGCGATGCTACAAGCCCTCAATGCTGGGATGGCAAAGCTTACCTCTTACTACACAAAGACGAAAGAGATCCATGGTAGTCTCTACGCGATTGGAACAATTCTTGCACCCCAGCATAAGCTTCACTTCTTCTCAAGTAAGGCGTGGGGTACATCGGAGAACGACACAAACTGGAGTGATCAGTATAAGGAAACGCTTCGCCAGTTCATAGCTCCTTACGCCCAAAGACACACTCAGACACGGTCCCTACGAGAAGAGCAACCCCCTAAGCGTCACTCAGCCAGTACAAGTGACCTAGACGCCCTCCTTGACCTTCTGCCTCACATCCACTCTGATCCATCAACGTCGGAGCACGAACTTGCTAGATACCTTGAAAAGCGTACGTTATATTCACTGTTATTACGAGCAGGAATACTAATACCTATGATAGCAAGGAGAAAGGTCGATCCTTTACAATTCTGGAAGGAATATGAGAATGAATTCCCAATTCTTTCCAGTGTTGCTCGCGACATTCTCTCTATTCCTGCAACAGGCGCTGGAGTTGAACGTCTTTTCAATTCAGCACGGGATGTCTGCCACTACCGACGTGGGCGGCTGAGTGCGAAGACAGTCCAGGATATCATGATGTTCCGGTGTAAAACCCAGTTCGACATTGAAATAGAAGAACTACCCGATGAGGATACGTCCTTGGATTCAATGCAAGAAGCAGACGAACAGAGAGAGGCTGAGCTTACCACTGACATGCCTGAACCAATCAGCGATGGTGAGGATTCCGAGGATAATGATCCTGTTGGACTGATCGAGTATGAGTTTATAATGGAGAGTCAGCTTCCTCGTCCTTCTATAGTGCTAAGTACGCGGAAGCGACAGAGAAGTGAGCTAG